CCCCCCCCGCCCCGCACCAAGGAGATGCTGATGTGTGCTCCAATTGGAGGACCGCTGACTTCTCTCTCTTCACACTCTATCCATACTGATGAGAGTCTTGTTCTTTCGTGCCACAGGGCCTTTGCACGTGCTGTACCCTCTGTCTAGCATGCTAAGCCTTGCCCTCTTTGAAAGTTGACTCCTATTCAATCTTCTCAGCGTGGCTCAATCTACATTCCTCGGGACACTTTTCCCAACCCCGACTGGGTCAGCTCTCCAGCTGTTCATTCTCCAGCCCTATCCACTTCTTCACAGTGTGCGTCAGTTTGTGATTACGTATCTGTTGATGAGCGGGTTGGTTCGTGTCAGTCTCCCCTACTAGACCGGGTGTGGGGTGGGGGGCTGTGAGGGCTAGGATCAATGCCTGGTTTTCATCCACCACGGTATCCACGACGCCAGCACAGTAGCTCTCCAAAAACATCTTCAGATGAATGAAAGCAATACGAAAAGTTTTGGCCCATGTCTTAGTCATCTAGTGCTGCTGTAACAGAAATACCACAAGTGGATGGCTTAACAAACAGAAATTTATTTTCTCACAGTTGAGGAGGCTAGAAGTCTGAATTCGGGGCATCAGCTCTAAGGGAAGGCTTTCTCTCTCTGTTGGCTCTGGGGGAAGGTCCTTGTCTCTTCAGCTTGTTTCCTTTTCCTTGGAGATCTCCATGTGGCTTGGTATCTCTCTTCCCCCATCTCTGCTTGCTTCCTTCCTTGTTTAATCTCTTTTCTATCTCAAAAGAGATTGACTTAAGACACATCCTACACTAATACTGTCTCATTAACATAACAACCCAGTGAGGGGTTACGATTGACAACATACATTTTTGGAGGACGCAGTTCAATCCAACAGCCTTCCTGGGGGAGACACTGGGCAGAGACCCAGCCCTGCCCCAGCCCCCTGGCTCTGCAGGGGGGTTGGTTGGAATGTGTGAACACACACACTGGTGACCCCATCCTTGCTTCCTGTTCCCCATCCTAGGGTGGCTTCCGGAATGCTGCGGAGAAAGATGTGTCCCTCACGGCCTTTGTTCTCATCGCGCTGCAGGAGGCTAAAGATATCTGTGAGGGGCAGGTCAATGTAAGTGCCCCTCATCCCCACTCCCACACCCCTCATCCTACCCCACTCCGGGCACATCCGGCTTGGTGAGTGAGATGACCACCTGGATTCTGGCAATTTCCCGTCCTCCCCCGTACAATAACATCTGTCACAGTAGCCATAATAATAACCAGCACACCAGATGCTGTCAAGTTGCCTCTGACTCATGGTGACCTCACGTGTGTCGGAGTAGAACTGCACTCCACAGGGTTTTCCATTGCTGTGATCTTTGGGGAGTAGATCCCCAGGCTTTTCTTCCGAGGTGCCTCTGGGTGGATTTGAATCGCCAACCTTTCCGTTAGTAGCCAAATGCTTAACGATTTGCACCACCAAGTAGAGAGAGGGTCAGCGGAAAAGAGGGAGACCTTACATGAGATGGGTTGATATGGGGGCTGCAAGCGTGGGCTCAAACATAGCAACGATTGTGGGGATGGTGCTGGCCCCGGCGACGTTTCGTTCCGTTGTACATAGGGTCACTATGAGTCAAAGCCAACTCAACGGCATCTAACAACAACATCAGATCACCAGACGTATCCATCCCAAGGACAGACACTGTCCTGGTGCCCAGAAAGTGGTACTTCTGTGGTCCTTATCAGCTCTCAGTGACAGCAATGCCCAGCTGACCAGGAATAACGGTCTTCTCCCTCACAGAGCCTGGGCGGCAGCATCAACAAGGCTGGAGACTTCCTTGAAGCCAATTACCTGAACCTGCAGAGGCCGTACACTGTGGCCATTGCCGGCTATGCCCTCGCCCAGCTGGGCAAGCTGGAGGGAAACCACCTCAACAAATTTCTGGGCACAGCCAAAGGTGAGGGGCACCGTGGAAAGGGGAGGGGGGGATGCATGGCTCGGTCTTGGGGGTGACCTCAAGCTGGGGTAGACAGCTCCAAGCCGAGCCGGGGTGGACCCTTCCAAGCTGAGGTGGGATAGGCTGTTCTAAGCCAAGCCGGGGTGGATGTCTCTGCGGTGTGCAGAGTGCTCACCATAAGCCACATATGAAGGTCCGTTGCATTATTCATTCAACAAGCGTGTATCTAGAACTTCTTATAACACAGAAGCAAGAAAGTAGTTAAGAACATGGGCCCCAAAGTCAGACAGACCTCAGTTCAAATCCTGCCTCTGCCACATTCTCACAACATGGTTCCAAGTTGGTAGACAGCTCTCCTCCCTACGGTGACATAGGAATCCAGGCCGCTATCGTGTTGTGGCACTGCCATCCTGGGGCCTTGGATTCCTCTGCATCTAGGCAGAAGGGCAAACAGGAGGATTGGACAAGGGAGGTGGGCCAGCTATAGAAGGGAACCAATCACTGCTGTACTCATTCCATTGGCCAGAACTTAGTCATGTGACCCCACCTACCTGCAAAGGCAGCTGGGAGGTGTAGTCCAGCTGTGTGCCCAGGAAGAGAACGTGGTTCTTGGTGGCTCTCTACCATATGTACTTTCTTAGGCATTTGGGACGTAACAGTGGATATAGCACAGCCCCCACCATCATGGAATCACACTCCAGATGAGGAAAGTGAGGAGTTAATAAGAGATTGCTGGAGAATGTCACAGTATTGAGACTGGAGAGATACAGGACACTGAGAGACAGAAGATTTAACTCAGACTTGGGCTACCACTGAAGCTGAGTTACGCAGGATGGGTAAGAATTAACCAAGTGTAGATGGAGAAAAAGGAGCCCTGGTTGTACAAATGGTTAAGTGCTTGGCTGTTAACTGAAAGGTATGCAGTTCGAATCCACCAGTGGCTCCATAGGAGAAAGACCTGGCGATCTGCTCCCGTAAAGATTACAGCCTAGGAAACTTTATGGGGCGGTTCTACTCTGTCCTATAGGGTCACTATGAGTTGGAATCGACTTGCCAACACCCAACAGTAGCAACAACAGATACAGAAAAGGGGCTCCAAGTCGAGGGAACAGCGTATACAAAGACTCAGAGGATAGAATGAACATGGCAAACTTAGGGAACCTCCCCGTAGTTCAGTGGGCTGAAGCTCAAAATTGAAAAGGAGAAGGGAGGGTTGATGAGGAACGAAAGTGAGGCAAGAGCCAGCAGATCAAGAACCAGGATATTTGAGCACCAAGAGGTTCTACCACTTGCCGTTGAGTTGATTCTGACTTACGTGTCCGTAAAACGGGGCTCTGTAGGGTTTTCAGTGGCGGTGATCTTTTGGAAGTAGATGGCCAGGACTTTCTTCTGAGGCACCTCTGGGTGGGCTTAAACTTCCAACATTCTGGTTAGCAGCTGAGTGCATTGCCCGAATGTGGTACCAAGAGGTTCTAGCATGAGTCTTTGAGCTTTCTCTGAGCCATCGCCAGGCTGGGCAGAGCAGTGAGCACTGGGGGGTTCTCTCTGCAGAAAACAACCGCTGGGAGGAGTCGGGCCAGCAGCTGTACAACGTGGAAGCCACGTCCTATGCCCTCTTGGCCCTGCTGAGTCTCAAAGACTTTGACACCGTGCCGCCCGTTGTGCGCTGGCTCAACGAACAGAGATACTATGGAGGTGGCTATGGCTCCACCCAGGCAAGTGGCCCCACGTGCCCCAGGCACCTGCATCCCTACTTCCTCTGGCCTCCCACTGGCCCCCTGGAGGACATACTGCACCCAGAGAGGCAGTTCTCTCCCATGAGCCAGGGTGATTGGGGTGGAATTGAGAAATCCATTTTTTTTTCACCTGTGAACCATCTGTGGGTTCTAGACTTTGTTCTTGATGTCCCAAGATGTGTTCTGAGCCTTCCTCTCACTCTTGATGTCTAGGTCATTTTCAGGGCCCAGGTTCAGGTGTAAGTATCTCTGCTGCCCTCCCTTATGGATTCTAGAACATGTTCCGAGTTCCACCAAGTTCCCAGTCTTACCCCCTCCCTCCGGTGGGTTCTAGACCAGGTTCTAGGTTACTCTAGGCCCTTACCTGTGTCCTTCCCTTCTCCAATGGATTCTAGACCAGATTCTAGGTTACTCTAGGACATAATCTGAGCCTCTCTCTCCCTCTGGTGGGTTCTAGACCAGGTTCTAGGTTCTTTAGGGCCTTGCCTATGTTCTTCCCTCCTCCAGCGGATTCTAAATCAAGTTCTACGTTACTCTAGGGCCTTGTCTGAGCCCCTCTCTCCCCCTGGGGAGTTCTAGAACAGGTTCTAGGTTACTCTAGGGTCTTACCTGTCTCCAGTCTCACTCTCTTTCCCTCTGGTGGGTTCTAGGCCACCTTCATGGTGTTCCAGGCCTTGGCTCAGTACCAGAGGGATGTCCCTGATCACAAGGACCTGAACCTGGATGTGTCCATTCACCTGCCCAGCCGCAGCTCTCTGGTCAGGCACCGCATCCACTGGGAATCTGCCAGCCTCCTGCGATCAGAAGAGGTAGATCCACCTGGCCAAGTCCTCCTTGCTCTGTTTTGCCCTTCATACTAGCTAGGGTTTGCTGGGAGAGTAGGAGAGGGGGCAAATGGCCATCACAGTTAGGGGAAGGCTTGGTTCCCAACACATCCTGTTCTCTCTCCGCACTCCCTGCAGACCAAGGAAAATGAGAATTTCACATTAACAGCCAAAGGGAAAGGCCAAGGCACCTTGTCGGTAAGGAATGGGGTCCACACCTCCCTGGGCCATCACCTCTCGGCCATCATCCCTTTGCCCTGGAGGGACCCTCCCTCCTGTCCTCAGCCATCCCAAGTCTCGGGGCCTGAGACCTCATCTCCCCTCCCATCTCGCCAGGTGGTGACAGTATACCATGCCAAGGTCAAAAGGAAAACCTCCTGCAAGAAGTTCAGCCTTAGGGTCCAGCTACAACCAGTAGCTGCAACCGGTAAAAGGAATAAAGACCCTACTCTGTCACCACACCCCACCCCGACTCTAACACCTGACCCCCTCCCAAGTCAGGAGCCAGGGACCCCCTTCCCATATTTCTGTCTTCTGGGTTTCTTTAGTCAAGAAGCCTCAGGACGCCAAGAGCAGTATGTTCCTGAGCATCTGTGTCAGGTAAGAAGCTCGGTCACTGGGGTTCGCCTCAGCCATCCCTGTCTTCAGCAAGCCTTTCTCCAACTAATTATCTGTGATAGCTCACACTTTCCGAGCGTTTACTCTGCATCTACCAGTTGCTGTCAAGTCGATCCTAACTCATGGTGACCCCATGGGTGTCAGAGTAGAACTGTGCTCCATAGGGTTTTCAATGGCTGAAATTTTGGAAGTAGATCGCCAGGCCTTTCTTCCAAGGCACCTCCCGGTGGACTCGAACCTTCAGCCTTTTGGGTAGCAGCCAGGCACGTTCTCTGTTTTCACCACCCAGGGCCTCCAGGAGTTCCCCTAATGTGTAGTTTTTTGCCAGTATCACTCCTGTGTGACATTGTCATCTTTTTGTTGCAACCGTTTGTATCCAGCTTTTGCGTGCATATGAGGCAATGGAAAAGACCATGGCTTGGGTCAGGCGCACGTTCGTCATCAAAGTGACGGCTTCACTTTTTCAAACTTTAAAGCAGTCCTTTGCAGCAGATTTGCCCGATGCAATGCATCGTTTGATGTCTTGACTGCTGCTTCCATGGGCGTTGATTGTGGATCCAAGTACAATGAAATCCTTGACAACATCAGTCTTTATTTCAGACCATTACACTTGTTGTTGGGTGCTGTCAAGTCCATTCTGACTCCAAACGACCCCACGTGACAGAGTAGAAGTGCCCTGTAGGTTTTCCTAGGCTGTAATCTTTACGGGAGCAGATCGCCAGGTCTTTCTCTTGTGGAGCTGTTGAGTGGGTTCGAACCGCCAACCTTCGGTTAGCAGCCGAGCCTTTAACCCTTGCATCTCCAGGGCTCCTTGCCATTACACCACCTTCCCTCTTTTCTGGTTGGGAAAGTGTTTCGTAAAAGCTAACGTCCCCCTATGCTGGGAACCAGAAGCCTCAGGCCCTGGCCAGACCCCCTAATCCAGACACCGACCTCTGAGGCTGATCCCTCTCTGGACCCCAACTCCTTGTCTCCCTGCCCCATCCAGGTACCTGGGACAGCAGGATGCCACCATGTCAATCCTGGACATATCCATGATGACCGGCTTCTCCCCCGACACTGCTGACCTTGACCTGGTAGGAAGGTCTTAGGCTTGGGGCTGGGATCAGCGAGTGGGGGTCTGGGGTCTGGAAGAGGCTGGAGGGAAGGAAGGGGATCCAGGAGGGATTTTCACAAGCCCTGCCCTTTCCTAGTTGAGCAAAGGCATCGACAGATACATCTCTAAGTATGAGATGGACAAGGCCGTGTCCGACAAGAACACCCTCATCATCTACCTGGACAAGGTAAGGTTCCCACTGATACCTTGACCCCTACCTGGCTGACCTTTTCTTCTCCCTGTGTCTCTGTCTCCAGGTCAGGCTAGTCCCAGGCTAGGAGAGTGGTAGGGAAGGAACCTGTCAAGCAAGGGATTAACCCAGGAATGGAGTCCCTGGGTAGCACAGACCGTTAAGCACTTGACTGCTAGCGGAAAGGTTTGCGGTTTGAACCCACGCACAAGTGCCTCAGAAGAAAGACCTGGTGATCTGTTTCCAAAAGGTCACAGCCTTGAAAACCCTGAGGAGCACAGTTCTACTCTGCACACGTGGGGTCGCCAGGAGTTGGAATCAACTCGACAGCAACTAACAACAGTAACAGTTATTATTATCAATGGGCAGAGCACACAACATCAGGCTGACGGTTAAGCGGGTCAGTGTGGGGGTGATGCAAATGGTTAACAGGATCGGTGCTTACTGAAAGGTTGGTGGTTCAAACTCACCCAGAGGTGCACCTCGGAAGACGGGCCTGGCGATCTGCTTCCGAAAAATCACAGACTTGAAAACTCTGTGGAGCAGTTCTACTCTGATACACATGGGGTCGCCATGAGTCCAACACTATGGCAGCTAAGAACAACAACAATTCCTAATACCCCCAGTGCCCCTCACCGCCACGTTAGCCTTAGTTATCTAGTGCTGCTGTAACAGAAATACCACCAGGAGGTGGCGTTAGCGAGCAGAAATTTATTTTCTCATCGTTTAGGAGGCTAGAAGCCTGAATTCAGGGCGCTGGCTCTAGGGGAAGGCTTTCTCTGTTGGCTCTGAAGGAAGGTCCTTGTCCCAGCATCTTTAGCATTCTCGGGTTCCTTGGTGATCGCCACGTGGCACCTATCTTTCCGCTTTCCTGCTTTTTTCTGTGCTTAATCTGTTCTTTTATCAAAAGTGATTGGCTTAGGACACAACACACACTGCTGTGGGCCGCATTAGCATAACAAAGAGCCCTATTCCCAAATGAGATTACATTTCCAGGTACAGGGGTCGAGATTTACAACACATATTTTTGGGGGACAAAATTTAATCCATAACAGTCGGCATCAGTAACATCAGCTGCTATAACAAAGCCCTAAAGAACATGGTGTCTTAAATTAATAGGCTTGTATTTCTCACTCACATGAAGTGTAGTTGGTAAGAGGGAACCTCGGCTCCATACAGTTACTCAGGGATCTAAGTATCTTCCATCTGCGGCTCTGCCATCATTATGATCTTGGAGTCCTCTGCTGGATCTCTTATTTCTAGAAGAAAAGGAATCATGCATGGTGGTTTTTATGAGTATAGATCACAGTCAGGTGGCCAGACCTTAGTCACATGGCCTCGCCTAAGCCAAAGGAAGGCTGGGAAATGTTACCCAGCTGTGAGCCTGGGGGAAAAAGAACATAGATTTGCTGAATAGCTCATGGTCTCGGCCACATATCCGTCATCCCCCACCCATATCCCTCCTTGATCCCTCAGTTTCTCCACCATTGCTCCAACTCCCGACATGCTCTGGATGGCACAAATGGTTAAGAAGTACTAGACTGCTAACTGAAGGGTTGGTGGTTTGAACACACCCAGAGGTGCCTAGGAAGAAAGGCCTGGTGATCTGCTTCTGAAAGTTCACAGCCCTGAAAACCCTATGGAGCAGTTCTCCTCTGCACACATGGGATCTCCATGGGTTGGAACTGACTCAACGGCAGCTAACAACAGTGGCTCCAACTCCCAGTGCCCTATGCAGGATTCCTTCCCTCCCCTGTCGCCCACTGACCAAGCTCCTCCTCCCCCCGCCTCCCCAGATCTCACACACCAGGGAGGAGTGTCTGACCTTCAAAGTTCACCAGTACTTCAAGGTCGGTCTTATCCAGCCCGGGGCCGTCAAGGTCTATTCCTACTACAACCTGGGTGAGCGGCCAACCTTGGGGCTGGGGACTGAGGGTCCCAGGGGTCTGAGAGTGGGGTGTGAGGGTCCCACAACTATGAGAGTCCCAAGGCTCTGTCCGTTGAGGGTCTAAGTTTCCCCAGGATCTGAGAACCGGGGGAGGTGGTTCCCATGGGGGCAGTGGTGTCTCAGTGGTAGGATTCTCCCCTTCCATGTGGGAGACCTGGGTTCGATTCCTGGCCAGGGCCCCTCATGTGCAGACACCAGCCGTCTGTCAGTGGAGGCTTGCATGTTGCTAGGATGCTGAACAGGTTTCAGTGGAGCTTCCAGACTAAGACTGGAACCCCTGGTGGCACAGTGGTTAAGAGCTCAGGCTGCTAACCAAAAGGTCGGCAGTTCAAATCCACCAGCTGCTCCTTGGAAGCCCTGTGGGGCAGTTCTGCTCTGTCCTATAGGGTTGCTATGAGTTGGACTTGACTTGGCGGCAATAAGTGTGGCCAGACTAAGACTGACTAGGAAGAAAGACCTGGCGATCGACTTCCAAAACGTCAGCCAGTGAAAACACTATGGATCACAACAGTCTGATTGCAGCCGATCACGGGCTGGCAAAGGACGGGGCAGCGTTTGGTTCCGTTGTGTATGGGGTCACCATGAGTCGGGGTCCGACTCAATGGCAGCTAACAGCAACAATGACAAGGATCCCATGGGTGTGAGGTTCCCGGGGATCTGCGAGCGGGGGTCTAAGGGCTCCAGGGATGCAAGGGCTGGGGACCTGGGGTCTCCGTGTTTGCGGTGTGAGAGGTCTGAGCATCCCAGGCATAGTCTCTGGGGCAGAAGCCACGGTCCTCTGACCCCTCATCACCTCCGTCCCCAGAGGAGTCCTGCACCCAGTTCTACCACCCAGAAAAGGAGGATGGAATGCTGGACAAGCTCTGCCACAAGGACACGTGCCGCTGTGCTGAGGGTGGGTGCAGGGGAGGGGCGCACCCACTGATCCCCACCCCCACGGGGGTGACCCGAGGGGTCCTGACAGCCACCCTCAATGGACGCAGAGGGGGAGGGCCACACTCATGGCAGCGGGCCCCGGACAAGAAATGGGACTGAGACTATGCCCTCTGCCCCCCACAGAGAACTGCTTCATGCACCACGTGGACGACAAGGTCACCCTGGACGAGCGGCTGGATAAGGCCTGCGAGCCGGGCGTGGACTACGGTGAGCAGAGGACAGCGCGGCGTGTCCCTGGGACTGGGGAGCGTGCACGGACGTGTGACTGTGAGCGACAGTGTGCCCGGCTGTGGTCATGTGTGTGCGACTGGATGGTAGGTGTGGCTGTGTGTGTGAGAGATGGTGAGTGGCTGTGGTTGTGTGTGAGAGAGAGAGACTTACAATGGGGTGTGTGTATGTGAGAGGAGACAGGCTGTGTGCGGTAGGTGTAGGCTATGTGTGAGACTGTAAGGCAGGTGTGTCTGTGGGTATTTGAGATGGGTGGGTGGGTGTGTGAGAGAAACTGTGTGTCTGTGTCATGGGGGAGACTGGTGGTAGGTGTGGCTGTGAATGGCCGTGGTTGTGTGCGTGTGACTGTAAGGCTGTGATTGTGAGTGCATTTGGTTGTGTGGCTGTGAGGTAGTGGTTGTGGATGACTGGATGTGACTAGCTGTAGTTGTGTGTTCAGGACTGTAGTTGTGGATAATTATATTGGGTGCATGGTTGTGAGTGTGACTGTGAGATAGTAGTTGTGTGTGTGCCTGTGAATGTGCGTGACTGCGGTTGTGTGTGTGACTGTGTGAGGCTATGAATGTGAGCAGTTGTGATGTGAGCGTGACTGTGTGAGGCAGTGGTTGCGGTGACTGTGGATACAGGTAGCTGTAGTTGTATATACATGACCATAGTTTGGGTGACCATGTTGTGTGCATGGCTGTGAGTGTGGCTGTGTGTGAAACGGTGGTTGTGAGCGGCGGTGGTTGTGAGTGGCTGTGTGTGAAACGGTGGTTGTGAGCGGCTGTGGTTGTGAGTGGCTGTGTGTGAAACGGTGGTTGTGAGCGGCGGTGGTTGTGAGTGTGGCTGTGTGTGAAATGGTGGTTGTGAGCAGCTGTGGTTACGTGTGAGACCGTGATTGTAAGCAATTGGGATGTGAGCGTGGCTGTATGTGGCAGTGGTTGGGGTGACTATTGCGTGTGTTCCTCTGAGTGTGATGTGTGTGAAGCTTTGTAAGTAGCTATATTTGTGAGTGTGAGTGACTGGTTGTGTGTGTGGCTGTGAGTGTAACTGTGAAGTTTGGTTGTAAGTAGCCATGACTGTGAGTGTGGCCGTGTATGAGGCAGTGACTGGTGTGAGTGTGGTCATGTGTGGGACTATGAGTCTAACGGTGTGGAGCTTTGGTTCTAAGTAGCTATGGTTGTGTGTGTGGCTGTATGTGAGCCAGTGGTTGGGGTGACCGTGGTCTTGTGTGTGCCTCTGAGTGGGAAGTGTGTAAGGCTGTGGCTGTGTGGGACCAGCTGTGGTGTCCCACGTGTATCTCTTTGGAGGGGCCAGGTGTGGTTGGGGGCAAGGCTGCCCCAGGTTCCCCCTGCCCGTGACCCCCATTTTTCCCCCTCCCCACAGTGTACAGGACCCGTTTGGTGAGGAAGGAGCTGTCCAATGACTTTGACGATTACATAATGGTCATAGAGCAGCTCATCAAATCAGGTCAGCCTGTGCTCCGTCCCTCCTTCCGCCTCCCCTGCCACCTGGCCTCCCTTCCTGGTCTCAGGGCCCCTCTTCCTGCCCCCCAGGCTCCGACGAGGTGCAGGTTGGACAGGAGCGTAGGTTCATCAGCCACATCAAGTGCAGAGAGGCTCTGAAACTGAAGGAGGGGAAGTACTACCTCATCTGGGGCATCTCTTCTGACCTTTGGGGAGAGAAACCCAAGTGAGTGCCGCCCCGTGCGTGCCGCGGTTGCCCCTCCACCCTGCCCAGCCCCCTCCTCACTGTCTTCCCTGTCATACCTCCCCAGCACCAGCTACATCATCGGGAAGGACACCTGGGTGGAGCTGTGGCCGGAAGCTGACGAATGTCAGGATGACGAGAACAAGAAGCGGTGTGAGGATCTGGGCGCCTTCACAGAGAGCATGATCGTCTTCGGGTGCCCCAACTGAGCCCTGCCACCACCCCCCAATAAAACTTCAGTGTATCTCACCTGTCTGCCAGAGTCTGGAGGTGTTTGAGGGCGGGAAAGAGGCAGCCGGGATTCAAGTAGCAGCTCCATCCTTCTGAAAAAGCTCACCTGAGTCCTTCCCACTTCATCCCCTCCTGTAGTTCACCTGCAAGGTCACAGGCCTCCTCACCTGAAAAGCACGTACCTGCCTCACCTGCACCTCACCTGAAGGGCACCTGCATCTTCCCCTGCGTCCCACCTGCAGCTCAGCTCCACCCTTACCTGAGTGCTCCTTTGCATTCTTCACCTGCATCCTCACCTGTATCACCTCACCTGCATCCTTATTGCATCCTTACCTGTCTTCCTACCAACATTCTCATCTTAATCCTTACCTGCTGTCTCACCTGTGCCCTGAATTGTATCCACCTGCATTTTTTAGGGGACGTCCTTCTCTACATGTTTAGCCTGTACCAGCATTATAGTGTCACCTGTTGTCCCCCTGCATCCTCTTTTGCATGACTACCTATATTTTTCCAGCATCTGCAGCTGGGTCCTCACCTGCACATTTACCTGGGCCCTTGTCTATCTCTCTTCCGGGGTTCCCACAGCATCCCTACCTGTATTCTCAACTGTCACCTTACCAGCATCCTCATCTGCCTTCTTGGTTTTTAAAATAATATTTTATTGTATTTTTGGTGAAAGTGTACAGGTTCCCACTCGATAATTTCGACACAGATTGTTCAGTGACATTGGTTACATTCTTCCCATGTGTCAATATTCTCGTGATGTCCGTTCTCCTTGTTCCTCTCCCATTAACCTAGCGTCACTGCCCTTCAGCCTTCTCTATGCTTTAGAGTAACTGTTGACCGTTTGGTCTCATATAGAATTTTTTAAAAGCGCGGTACTCAAGGATGACATTCTTTTCTTTTTGAGCTAACCTGCTATTTAGTTAAAAGATGACTTTAGGGGATTGTTTGGCTTCCGAGTTGAAAGAGTATCTCAGAGCCATAGTTTTGGGGATTCCTCCAGTCTCTATGGGTCCAGTAAGTAGGGATTTCTTGAGAATTTGAAGGTCTGTTCCACGTTTTTCTCCCTATCTATATCAGGATCTACCTATTGTGGCCCCACTCAGAAAGTTCAGTAGTGGTAGCCGGGCACCATCTAGTTCTTCTGGTCTCAGAGTAGAGGAGACTGTGGTTCATGGAGACAGTTAGTCCTGTAGACCAGTTCCTTCTTCGAATCTTGGATCACCTGTATTCTTACCTACCTTTCTCACCTGCAGCTTCCCCTGCATCTCCACCTGCACCTTCACCTCTTTACCAGCATCCAAACCTACAGTCCCCTGTGCCTTCTCACCTCCATCCTCACCTGCCTCTTCACCTGAATCCTCACCTGTTCTCATTTGCATCTCATTTGCCTCTTCTCCGCAGCTCATTTTCACTCCATTTCTCATCTCACCTGCATCCCACTTGCCCTCCTCTGGACTCCACACAAGCTCCTGGGAGGTGCAAACAATTAACACGCTTGGCTACTAACCAAAAGGTTGGTGGTTTGAGTCCACCCAGAGGTGCCTCAGAAGAAAGGCCTGGTGATCTTTTTCCTGGGAAGCACAGTTCTACTCTGACTCATCGGATTGCCATGAGTCAGAATCGACTCGATGGCAACTGGTTTGGATTTTTTGGGTGAGCTCATCCCACCTTCTCAGTCCAGACTATCTCAGTGGGTCAGAAAAGGCTAGTCAGTGTGTCCACCAGGAGGGGGCGCTGAGGGGCGGGCAGGATGCTGTTTCTTGCCAGAGCCCTGGGCGGAGGAAGGCATGAGTCAGCAGTCAGGGAGGGGCACGGGGCTGTTGCGGTGACAGCAGCATCAGAGCTGTGTGGGAGGCAGCCACCACAGATGTGTGGGGGCCGCTGGCTGCTATGTGCCTCTTCCAACTGCACCTCTAGCCTCTTGGAGGGAGGCAGCGGTCATTCGGTGGTAGAATTCTCACCTTCCATTCGGGAGACCAGGGTTCGATTCTCAGGCAATTCACCTCATGTACAGCCACTACCCCGTTGGTCAGTGGAGGCTTATGTGTTGCCAGGATGCTTGAACAGGTTTCAGCGGAGCTTCTAGACTAAGGGACTAGGAAGAAAGGCCTGACTATCTACTTTCAACAGTCAGCCAACGGATCACAACAGTTCAGTCCACCGCCAATCATGGGGATGGCGCAGGACTGGGCAGTGTTTCATTCCGTTGTGTTGGGGGTTGGCATGCGGCAAGGGCTAACTGGGTTGTAGCTAACAACAAATCCCTTAGAAACTGTGTGTGTGTGTGTGTGTGTACGTGCGCGCTAGGTGTACATCCAGGCTCCAGCTCTGGGCCCCATCACAACCCCCGACCCCCGAGCCTGGAAACCCCCCTACATAGTCCCTTTCTCCTAAGACCTCCAGGCCCGGGAAACCCCCACCTCCCCGCTCCAGGAATATCAGGGAAATCAATTCACAGCCCATCCCACCCCACCCACCCCCAATTGCCAAGTGGAGCCCGAAGTGCCTGCCTCCTTAAAAAAATAAACCATCACCATTGTGTCAATTCCAGCTCATGGTGACCCACCCCCCCCACAAGTTACAGAGTCGACTGGCCGGCCACTAGTACTGGTTATTGTTACAGACCTGGGAGTATAGCTGTGAACAGCACAGACCTGCCCCCAGGAACATTACGTTCTAAACAGGAAGAGCAGGAAAGACACTTAAAGTAATGATCGAATTGATGTTGGACAGTGAGAACAGCTAGCAAGGAAAGTAGAGAGGGTGACATGAGACAGCCCGCCGGGGGTGGGACCAGCAGTGGGAGGAGGCAACTCTTGAGTTGAGACAGAGCTGACAAGGAGGGGCCAGCCATGGGCAATCCAGGGAACAGCATTCCAGGCAGAGGGAATGGAATGTGCAGAGGCCCGGAGACAGAGGGGGCCAAGTGAGCAGGGGGCAAATGCTTCCAGACACAGGGAAGCCCACTTGATGTTTATTCTAAGCTCAGGGACAGCAAACTTTTTCTGTAAAGGGCCAGAGAGTAAAGATTTTAGGCCTTGTGGGCCAACAAGAGGCAAAGTCAAGGGCATTATTACAATAACTATTAATTTCTTAGTGCTGCTGTAACAGAAATACCCCAAGTGGGTGGCTTTAATGAACAGAAATCTATTTTCTCTAAGTTTAGGTGGCTACGAGTTTGAATTCGGGGCACCGGCTCTAGGCGAAGGCTCTCTCCGTCTGCTCTGGGGAAGAATCCTTGTCTCAGCTTCTTCTCAGCGTCTTGGCGATCTCCATGTGGCATGAGTTTTCCCCCTTTTGTGCTTCTGTGCCTCGTCTGCTCCTTTCATATCTCAAAAGTGATTGGTTTAAAACACACCCTCCACGGATACGGCCTCATTAACGCAACAAGGAAAACCCTATTCCCAAATAGGACCACACCCACAGGGATATGAGTTAGGATTTATAACACAGATTTTTGAGGGACGTAATTCAATCCATAACACTTATAAATGAAGAGAGGAGACTTCTGTCCTGCTCTGCCCCATTTGCTTGGGGTGGGCTGTCCTGGGGAGTGGGCATACTTTGCACCCAGCTGCTGGTGGCATTCTTGGGACCAAGAGTGACTGGCTTGAGGGGAAGGGGGCTGGAGGGCCAGGTAGATGGTGGGTATGGGGGCGGCTGCCTTGGTCAGTTTGTCTCCCCCAGCGACATCCAGATCCCAGTGAATCCTTCTCTCTGGAGAGCCAACTGTTTTGTCGTGAGCAGGTGGCCACTGGCAAGGTGCCCGGGAGTTGCCAACAGCAGAGTCCCCAGCATGGAGGTGGTGACCAGCACAGGCCCTGAATGGCACAAGGCCTTTGGCCACCAGTCAGGGAGGTGGGCACTGGGGCCGGTTGGGGGACAGGGCAGAGGAGGAGGCCCTGCCTGGTCTCCCCAGCTCACTGTGCCAGCCTGTGAGAGCTGCTCCCGCGGGCGGTACACAAACCAGAAGCTGGCCGGATTTGGCTTGAGGGCCGTCGTCTGCCAACCCCTGTAAGCGCAGTAGGAAACCAGTGGCAGGTTTTACGGAGAGGAGTGATAAGAGCAGACTTACGTGTTTAAAAGCAGCCCTGTTGCCACAGTGCGTAAATCGATCGGCTGCTAACCGAAAGGTTGGCGGTTCGAACCCACTAGCTGCTCTGCGGGAGAAAGATGTGGCAGTCTGCTTCTGCAAAGATTTACAGCCTTGGAAACCATGAGGCAGTCCTACTCTGCCCTAAAGGATCGCTTTGTGTTGGAATCGACTCAACGCAATGGGTTTGTTACTGCTGTTAGCTGCTGTAAAGTCGGCCCTTGGCCCATGGTAACCTCATGCGCAGTGGAACAAAACACTGCCTGGTCCTGTGCTATCCTCATGATTGATTTCAAATTAGACTGTTTTCATCCATAGGGTTTTCACTGGCTGATTTTCAGAAATATATCACCAGGCCTTTCTTCCTAGTCTGTCTTAGTCTCGAAGCTCTACTGAAACCTGTTCGGCATCCTAGCAACACTCAAGCCCCCACTGACAGACAGGTGGTGGCTGTGCATGAGGTGCATTGGCCGGGAATCGAACCCGGGTCTCCCGTGGGGAAGGCGAGAATTCTACCATTGAACCACCACTACCTCCCCTCCAGCTAGAAGGTACAGCGTGAATTAGAAGGTTGTAAGAACCAACACTATCCCCTAAAGTCTTGGAATCAAAAAATAGCTCATCTTAATTAGTAAAGCAAGTCCACTGTGAGCATTGTGCTCTGTTAAAGAATCATCCATGTGAGATCAAATCGACAATGGCAACTCGAAAGGTTGGATGAGAGGCTTGGGGGCAGTGAATCTAAGTCAGTGGCAGTGGAATAATGTGGAAAAAGATAGCGAGAAAGTTTGCACAACTTGAAGAATGTAACCAATGTCACGGAATTGTACACATAGATGTGGATGAAACTGTGTAGCTTTGGCTGTATATCACCAAAACTAAAAGCCGAAGCCACTGCCTTTGAATCGATTCCGACCCATAGCGACCCTATAGAACAGAGCAGAACCACCCCATAGTGTCTCCAAGGCTGTGGTCTTTACGGAAGCCAACTGTCTCCACTTTCTCCCACGGGGCGGCTAGCGGGTTTGAACCACTGACCTTCCGGTTAGCAGCCAAGTGCTTAACCACTGGGCCACCAGAGCTGCTTTGGCTGTGCATACTTTCACCAAAATAAGTGAATTAATAATAAAAAAAAAAAGTCGTGGTAAGAATTGAAGCAAAAAGTCCAGTCAGGGATTTACCACAACCATCCAGCGAGAGATGGTGTCGGCCCTGAGCACAGAAATGGGTGGCTGGGTTTGAGATCTGTTTGGGAGGTTGAACTGGCAGGACTTGCCGAGGGATTGGATTTGGCGATAAGGCAGAGGGAGGACTGTAAGGTCTTTGGCTTGGTTAACTGGGTGGACAGTGGTTCCACTTCCTGAGTGTGAGTTCCTGTTAAAAATTGCATACACATACATGTGCATGCACACACAGCATACACAGTCGTGCACACATACACAACTACCACACAGTGCATGCACACACAGCCATGCACACACACACACCTACCACACAATGCATGCACACACACCATGCACACACCTCCCACACAATGCATGCACACACCATACACACACAGAACACACAGCACACATAGGCATGCACACACATACACACACCTACCACACAATGCATGCATGCACACCATGCACACCCAGTCATGCATGCACATATGCACACACACAGATACAATACATACACCTACCACATACACACACGAGTAAATGCACACCCCATGCACAATATACATGTGCATAAGCCCACACATACATAGGAACCCATATGCATGCACCACACGTGTGCACGCACGTGTGCTCATACACACACAACATGCATGCACACACATACACAGGCACTCACGTGTGCCTACGCCTCCCACTCCTTTACTCAGCTCTAGTACTTCACATTGCACTTGTCACCTTCTAAAACACTATATTAAAAAAAAAAATCAAACCCATTGACCTTGAATTGATTTAACTTCTGACAACCCCACGTGTTACAGAGTAGAACTGAGCTCCGTGAGGTTTTCTTGGCTGCAGTCTTTACTGGACCAGATTGCCAGAACCTTCTTCCACAGTGCTGCTGGGTGGATTTGAACTGCTGACCTTTTGGTGAGCAGCTCAGCTCTTAACCACTGCACCACCGGGGCTCTTTTCGGTTAGTAGTTGGGGGCGAACCGTTGGCACCACCCAGGGACCCAAACACTATGTATTATTTTCTCACTCACTAGGGCCCCTGTCTGTCTTGCTCAACCTAAACATAGCCTCAGGAGAGCAGAGATTTCTGTCTCGTTCGCTGCCGTGTCCCGAGCCTAGTTCCATGCCTGGCACCCAGGACTTGCTCCATAGATACTTGGAGATCAAGTGAATGAAGCAGCTGAGAAGGGGCTCCAGGACCTCTCCCCAGCCCACCCTGGCCCCCACCTGAGTCACATTTTCAGATGATTCTGGAAAGTGTGAGACATGGCATGAGTGAGAGTGAGCTGGGGCTGGGGGTAGGGGGACAGGAAGGAGAGGACGGCATGTGGGGAAAGGGGTGGGGCTGAACCTCAGTTCTAAAGGCGGCCAGGCCCTCGAGCACCCATCTGCAGCGCGCAAAGCGCAGGGGTGTTGAGCAATCCTAGCTTCCTCTGAGCCCGCAAGACCTGGCACACCAGCCTTGCTCCAAGCGTCTCAGGGCCACGTCTGCCCGGGCATGGAGGAGGCAGCCGCACGGCCCTCGGTGTTTGTGGTGGACAGACAGACGGACATCCCATTTACACGGCTGGAGCGAGGCCACCGGAAACAGGCCTGCAGCGCTGCCCGGCTGGGCCTGAGCCTCCTGCTGCTGCTGCTGGGCACTGGGCTGGCCGTGCAGGGCTGGCTTCTGCTGCAGCTGCATTGGCGCGTGGAGGAGATGACTGCCCGCCTGCCGGTGAGTGTGTCTGGGGGCTCGCTGTGGGGGGCCGGGGGTGTCTCCTGTGTCCCTGTGTGTCTGTGGGTGTGCAGGACAGGAGACACACTAAGGGTGTCCAGCTCAATCCCTGACTTTCTGGAATCCCAGGGCAAAGTTAATTCACCTCCCTGAGCCTCAGTTTCTTCATCTGTAAAATGGGGATGATAATAAGAGTGCCCAGCTCATAGGGCTGCTGGGGAATGAAATAAGAAATGGCATGCACGGTGCCCGGCAGTGGGTGGCACGTTCTAAGTGCTCAATGAATCGGAACCAACATTCATAGTATTATTACTCAGCTGTAGTTAATTGCCGTCAAGTCAATTCCAATTCACGGCGACCCCATGTGCGCAGAGTAGAACTGTGCTCCAGAGGGTTTTCAAGGCTGCGACCTTCTGGAAGCGGGCCACCAGGGCTGTCTTCCGACGCTCCTCGGGGTGGGTTCCAACTGCCAACCTTTAGGCTAGTAGTTGAATATTAAATCTTTTGTGCCATCCAGGGACTCCCAGTATTATTATTAATTATTGTCATTATCAGCCTCTCCGGAGCCCTGGTGGTGCAGTGGTTAAGCTTTCCACTGCTAACCAAAAGGTCGGCAGTCCGAATCCACCAGCTGCTCCTTGGAAACCCTATGGGGCGGTTCTACTCTGTCCTATACGGTCGCTATAAGTCGGAATCGACTCGGTGCCAGTGGGTTTTTGGGTTTATCAGCGTCTCCACAATTGCCATGACTGTGATCATTTTTAACCCTTTTTGAGTGTCTCTGTCAGAATCTTTCCCTGCACTTGTTTCTGGTTGGCTGTGAATCTGTCTCTCTGTCTGTCTGCCATGCCTGTGGGTCTGCGTGTGCGTCTGTGTGTCCAACGCCATGACCATATGGTCTTGTCCTTCTGTGTCCCTTGTCTCCACATCCTTCTCCTTCTGTCTGGATCTAGGGTCCACACGTCTTCATGTGTTCCTGTGGACCTGTGTTGTTGTCCTATGTCCATGTGTCTGCAGGTACCCGCCTGTCTGCAATCCATGCGTTGGTACCATGCGTCTTTGTTCCTGGGTCTCTGGGTCTATAGACCCACGTGCTCCATCAGCCTTACGTCCATGTGTGTGTTGTCATATACTTGAGCATGTACATAAATCTGACATCCATGCCCTGTGTCACATGTCCGTATCCAGTGTGGGTGTGTGTGTCCATGTGTCTAGACGTCCAGGTATGTTTAATTTTTTATTTATTTAGTAAACACTTTCCATGTGGGAGACCCAGGTTCAATCCTTGCCCAAAACACCTCATGCGCGGCCACCACCCATCTGCCAGTGGAGGCTCGCGTGTTGCTATGATGCTGAACAGGTTTCAGCGGAGCTTCCTGACTAATACGGACTAGGAAAAAAGGCCTGGAGATCTACTTCTGAAAATCAGCCCATGAAAACCCAATGGATCACAGTGGTCTGATCTGCAACTGATCATGGGGATGGCACAGGACGGGACAGCATTTTGTTCCATTGCTCATGGGGGTCACCGTGAGTTGGGGGCCGATGTGACAGCAGCTAACAGCAGCAACAGGTGTCAGGCACAAGAAATGCTTTACACGGATGAATTCATTAAACCCTAAGCAGATACCACAGTAAAGTAGAGCGTGAGCGAAAGAGAGGAAGACCCTCAACGAGACGGATTGACACAGTGGCGGCAACAATGGGCTGAAACTTAGCAACAATTGTGAGGATGGCACAGGACTAGGCAGTGTTTCGTTTTGTTGTACGGCACCTAAAAACAATAACAGATACCATGAATCTCTCCATTTACCGAGAGGGATACTGAGGCACAGAGAGGTCGTGCGGCTGCCAGGCGGGTGTGTGTGTGTGTGTGTGTGTGTGTGTGTGTATGCGGCTCTGTGTGTATGTCTGAGGGTGGTGGGCTTTGGCCGTGGTCTGGTTGTCTTGTGTCCACGTGTCCGCATGAAGTCAGGCTGTCCACGTGATGTGGGGGCATCTGTATGAAGTCGGGACGACTGTGACGGCGGGTCTCCGGGTGACGTTGTGGTGTCTGCTTGATGTCAGGACATCTGTGTAACAGGGGTGTCTGTGCGATATTGAAAGGGGCCCTGGGGGTACAGTGGTTAAAGCTGATCCAAGAGAGAGACGTGGCAGTCTGTTGCCAAGAAGATCACAGCCTAGGAGACCCTATGGTGCAGTTCTGCTCATCCTATAGGGTCGCTATGAGTTGGGATCGACTCCGGCAGTGGGTTTGGGTGTGATACTGGGGTGTCTGTGTGATATTGGGGTGTCTGCATGAGGTCGGGGCATGGACCCCCAAGCCCTCACCATGGGCTCCTCTGCATTTTCAGGTCGGGGACATGGGCTCCTGGGAGCAGCTGGTTCAAGGTGAGTCAGGGCCCGGGGAGGGGGAGGGGTGGTTCCCACGCTGCCCCCCGACCCCGCCCATTGCCCAACACCTGTTGCACAACCGGCCCCAGCCTCACAGGAGCCCCTCCCCCTGGCCTGAGGAGAGGAAGTTCGGGCCACTCCGGAAGGGTGGGGTTGACACTGGGAGATAGACTGAGTGACCCCTTGGGAGGTGCCAGTCCCACCGGGCTCCAGGGCTGGTCCTGACCTCCCACTTCCTTCCCCTCTGACCTCTGACCCTCTTTCTCCAGAACGGAGGTCCCACCAGACCAACCCGGCAGCACACCTCACAGGTGAGGGGACCCAAGATATGGGCATGAGGGGGTGTTGGGGTGTCTGGGGGAGACCAGAGAGACCCCCCCCAATATGCCTGGAGACACTCTTGCTTCCCTGGGATACTGATCCCGTGGGACGCTTTCCATTCATTCATTCATTCGTTCTGTGTTAACAGAATGGCCCAGGGCTTGGGTCCATGTATTTTAATTTTATTCATTTAATAAATGCTGCATAGTGCCTACTATGTGCCAGGCACTGGAAGTGCTTTACACAGATTAAGCCATTAAATCCTAAGCAAGCACTGCTAATCGCTCCATTTACAGGGATGGTAATTGAGGTACGCAGAGGTTACCGGACCGGGATGTTCTGCTTGGTTCCTTGATTCTGCCACTTAGGCGTTTTGACGCTTTTGGCAAGTCACTTCATTGCTCTGGGCCTCGGTTTCCCCCTTTGTTAAGCAAGTGGTACAAGAGTTAAGCACTTGGCTGCCAAATGAACCCACCCAGAGGCTCCACAGGAGACAGTCCTGGTGATCTGCTCCTCTAAAGATTACAGCCAGCAACAGAGACTGGAAAAACCCAGGGAGTATGGCCTCCAGACACCCTTTTAACTCAGTGCTGAGTTAAAACCCTTTTAAGTCACTGCTGAGGTTCACTCTTCAGCCAAAGATTAGACAGGTCCATAAAACAAAATGAGACTAAAGGGGCACACCAGCCCAGGGGCAAGGACAAGAAGGCCGGAGGAGACAGGAAAGCTGGTAATGGGGAACCCAAGGTCGAGAAGGGGAGAATGTTGACATGGTGTGGGGTTGGCAACATGTGTATTAATTGTTTAATGAGAAACTAATTTGCTCTGTAAACCCTCATCTAAAGCGCTATTTTAAGAAAAAGATTACAGTCAAGACAACCCTGTGGGGCAGGTCTGTGCTGTCACATGGGGGTCCAAGAGCCAAAATCGACTCGACTGCACCCAACAGCAAAGCAAGTTGCTTTGCCTTTCTGTGCCTCAGTTTCCCTACCTGCCAAATGCGGATGGAATGAGTTAAGACCTATGATAAACAAATTACTTCGCCTCTCTGTGCCTCAGTTTCCCCATCAGCAAATTGGGGAGGAAGTGAGTTCACGCATATAAAGTCCTTGAACAGCCTGGCCCAGAGGTAGAGGCTCAGGGAGAGTGGGGAATGACCTGAGGTCCCACAGCAAGTCTAAGACATGTACTGACCACCCCCCTCGTCTCTCTCTGCAGGAGCCAATGCCAGTCTGACGGGCAGTGGGGGCCCACTGCTGTGGGAGACACAGCTGGGCCAGGCCTTCTTGAGGGGCCTGGACTACCACGATGGGGCCCTGGTGATATCAGAGGCTGGCTACTATTATATCTACTCCAAGGTGCAGCTGGGTGGCATGGGCTGCCCACAGGGACTGGCCGGAAACCTGCCTGTCACGCATGGCCTTTACAAGCGCACACCCCGCTACCCCAAGGAGTTGGAGCTCTTGGTCAGCCGGCGGTCACCCTGTGGGCGGGCAGCCAGCTCCCGCTTCTGGTGGGACAGCAGCTTCCTGGGCGGTGTGGTGCACCTGGAGGCCGGGGAGGAGGTGGTTGTCCGCGTGCCCGACGAGCGCCTGGTCCGACTACGCGACGGAACGCGGTCCTACTTTGGGGCATTCATGGTGTGATGATGGAATGAAGGGGAGACTGGCAGGCAGAGACTTCAGAGGGTGCCTCAGGAGACAGAAAACCCAGCACAAAGAGATCTCGGGGGCACCTGGGGAACCTCAAAACTCAGGGGCCAATAACTAAGCCACTTATAAGACGGAAGAATAAGCCGGCACTTTCAGAGGACCTAGAACTTCAGATCCTGTTGTGGACAATACAGAAGCCAAAGACCCAGAGACTTGGGGGTCCTGTAGGCCCCCAAGTGTGGGGTAAAGCTGATTTGCCTGATATTCAGGAAGAGGGAATGAGGGGTGGGTATTTATGCTTTCGATTCAGAGCAAAGTGGGACTTGGGGGTTCAGGGATGTGGCAAGAGGAAGAAAATGTCACCACCCACCCCACTCTCATGCGTGTGGGTTGGGGTAGAGTCATCATCAGGACTCATTTCTGTGGAGGGCCCAGCCCAGCCTCACCCACGGTCCTGGTCACACATTCGAGTCCCACTCACAGGCTTGTGGTCACATTCAGCCTGGCCACTTAACATTACGCTCAGAGAGTAAGCCCAGCAGGGAGCTGAAAAACATTTAACATCCGGCTCTCCTGGGAGGGGCAAGCTTTGTAGTGTTTGCCTATTTCTATGGTGTAAATACTCCCAACATGACTGATTTTCAGCTACTAATGTATCATCCATCAGCTGGCTACACCAAGCCACTGCTAAGCACACACATCCCATGAGGGTGGGGATTCCACAGAGTGGAGACTGGTGGTCTTGGCCACTGCAGCAAACCCAGCACCCAGCCCAGGGTCGGGCATGCAGCAAAACCCCAAACCAAACCCGCCACCATCAAGTCAAATCTGGCTCATAGCAACCCTGCAGGACAGAGTAGAACTGCCCCATACGGTTTCCACGGAGTGGCTGGTGGATTCAAACCACTAACCTTTTGGTTAGCAGCCAAACAGTTAACCACTGTACCACCAGGGCCCTGGCATGCAGCCGGCATTCGGGAAATGTTTGCTGATGGAAAGAAAGAGCAAATGAATATATATTCACCCCTACAGCATCACAGAGAATTAATTACATGGCTCCACAATCTCAGTCACCCTTTCACAACCACAAATACAGACACTCAGAGCATCAGATTCACACACAACCACACAGTCACACAAAGTCATGCCATCACAAGCAAACAGCCGCAGACATGGTCTTTAAACCACATGTAACAGTCACACACAAGTCACAAGACAATGTTGCAAGGACACAGTCCCAGACACTACCTCATGGTCAGAGCCGTCGCACGTAGCCATACAATCACACACAAGTCAGAAGACAACACTGTAACCACAGTCACACAAGCCACGCCCACCATGCACAACCACACGACTGCACACAAATCACAGCTTTGCGAACTCACAGTCATAGACGCTGCGTTACCACCATGTACAATACAATCACACACGTGGCAAGACAACATTGCAACCAGTGCCGCAAACACTGTCTCATAGTCACACTCATCACAATCACATACAAGTCACGGACAGCATCACAACACAGCCTCACAGTCACATCCAGTCGTAACCATCACATCAGAATTGCACAAGCCGCGTCACAATCTGACCTAGCTATGTACACAGCATTACAATGACAAACACACATCACACACACACACAGCCTGGCCTAAGGTTCCTTTCCAGCCAGCCAAGACTAATATATACTGGGGTTAGAACCATACCCTGTCCCCAGTCCCGGGTCTTGACTGCTGGTCCTTGAAATAAACGGCAAACATTTGTATCTGAATCTACTGGATCTGTCTAGTTCTTAAAGGAAGAAACCTGCCGGGAAAGGCAGGGCAGAGTCATCAGGTCCGAAGAACCCCATGAGGAAGAGGAGGGCTGGGTAGGGGAGCAATGTCAGCCTAAAACAGGCAGCTCCTCACAGAAACATAAGGTTGGGTGTAATGATCCATGAAGGTCATTTTACAGACAAGGAACTTGAATTGTGCTGGCCCAGCCCCATACACAAGTCTGCCTTCCCCAGGAATCCACAATCCCTGTCAGAGTAGAGGTCGAACCCTGCAAGGCACACTTATTGCCGACACCCAGGGCACAGTGACAGTCTACCAAACCAGCTGGAAGCTTGGAGTAAGTGGGAGCCAGAGGGGGCGATAGAGGTGAGACCAGGGGCAGATAATTCCTTACACATCAGCTGACATATGCAAATAAGCATGTATCACTGTGTGGCTGGAGGGAGGTCTTAGTTCCTAGGACCGAGGATGAGGGCACAGACCCCGGAGGTGAATGAATGGTTATAATATTGTTATTGTTGGTATTGTTATTGTCATTGTTGCACAGTACAGGGGTGGAGAAAATAGGCTTTGCAATCAGACCATCCTGGATTCTAATTCCACTCTGTTTCTTACTGGCTGTGTGACTTTGAGCAAGTCCGTTTACCTCTCAGTGCCTCAGTTTCCTCATCTGTCGAAAGGAGTTAAAAACAGTACTCGCCTCCTCGTTTGTTACAGAGATTAAATAAGATCAGGCAATGGAAACTGTTCGGTAAGATGCCTGGTACACAGTTAGAGCTCATGCTGGAAGTGCTTTAGAAATATTAATGAAAACTAACATTTACTGGGCAATTTCCATATGCTAGGTATCTCGTGTGAGTTGTATATTTGTATACATGATTCAGTCCTCCACAGAAGTATCACTGCCCCCTTGTTTCAGGTGATTAGGAATTTCCCTCCTCCTTTCCTTGCTGTGCTGGTGGGAGGTGGGGCAGCCCCAAATGTCTGCCCCCAGCCCCCGCTGGAGTTTCCTTTACTCTCATCATAGCTTTTCCGTTCCTGTGGTTTTGATAGGGAGACCAAGGTGTGGGGACAGTGTATTTATAAAAGCCACCAACTTCCGCCTGGGGATGGAACCTCTCACAAACTTTAGCCTCCAAAGATCATTCCTAGGAGGGACCTCCCAGCCTTGAAGAAGAGGAGAGAGAGGAAAAAGGAGGGGTGGGTAAGGAAGCAGGAGATGGAAAGAGGGGGAGCGGTAAAAGGAGAAAGAGAGGGAGGAAGGGAAAGGAGGAGATGGAAGAAAGAGGGAGGAAGGAGAGAGAAAGAAGAGGAAGGGCAGAAGAAGGAGGAGGAAGGTAGGAGGAGTGGGGAGGGGGAGGGAGATCTTGCAGGGGCAGAGGCTGGTGCAACAGAAGACCTGGATCCCAATATGATTTCAGATAATGTGTGAGGGCAGGAAGCCCCTAGCCCAGGCCACTGACCTATTTTTCAAATTTCTGAGAAATTTATCTACTTGATTTCCGCTTTCACTGCCTGTGCTACAGCGTCTTGTCAGATTTCACCCTCCCTTGCCGCAACTCTTCCTCAGGACCTAAAGTCTGACATCCTCATCCCATCCCCCAAACCCTGAACAGAAACCCTTCCACCTTTCTCTTCATCTCCAGAGGAGGTCAAAGTAAAAATAATGGTGATAAAATAATTTATTAATTTTATATTATGATGCTATGTCCCTCTTGCTAAACACCACTGTGTTCAAACACTTCACATGCATTTAATCAGAGAAACAGGATGGTTCTTACGCTGGAGCCAGACAGCCTGGGTTCAAATCCCCGCTCTTCTACTTTCCAGCCAGGTGACCTTGGATTCATCCCTGGCTTCTCTGGGCCTCATCTATAAAACAGGATGAATAGTGACCCCTACCTTATCCTAGCTATTGTGAGATTAAAAGACTTGAGTCTTTAAGTACTTTTGCAGAGGTTGGCTCACAGTGAGCTCTTTAATCCTTAGTAGCTATTCTTTTTGTAAGTGTAGTTGTAATCACATACACATTTAAAATTCTGCTTCTTTTCAGTTATTACAACAAAAGTGGCCTTACAGCCATAGGTCACAGCTAGCCACTGGGTGTGTTTTTAAAATGGAACTTAATAGTCAACATTTAAGTATTTAAAAATTTTGCACTTGGACTAATCTAGATTTCTAGATTCTCTTGGAAAGTTGGAAACTGTAACAACAACCCAGGATGGGTAGAAGCTGCCCCCTTTGGACAGGGCATAGACTCACCAGCTTGCCACAGTCCCCACATTCTCAGTTGTCTCACACACTGAGGCTGAATGTCAGTTGCCTTTTATCATCATGTTTGTGCTATTGTTTTTCTTAAAATAATAGTAATAATTAATTATAGTTCACACTTCTAGAGCACCCACTGTGTGCCAGGCACTATGCTAACTGCTTTAATTCGTATCAACTAATTTAATGCTCGAAATGATTCTATGGGGGGTACTATTATTATTCCTTTTTTATGGATGGGGAAACCTAGGCACAGAGAGGTTAAGTCATCTCTCCATTAAAAGTGAAAAAATATACAGCAGCCTGAGATGACCCTGAGTTTCCAGAAAAACAAGAGAGTTCACAGTTGTATGAGTTTCCTACTGCTGCTGTAACAAATTACCACAAACTTAATGCGTTAAAACAACACAAATTTATTATCTTAAAGTTGTGAAGCTCAGATGTTCAAAATGAGTCTTACAAGGCTACAATCAAGGTGTTGACAGGGCTACGTTTCTTCCTGAGGCTCTAGGGAAGAATCTGTTCCCTTGCCTTTTCTAGCTTCTAGAAGCCACCCATATTTCTTGCCTAGTGACCCCCTCCTCCATCTTCAAAACCAGCAGTGTAGCATCTTCCAATCTCTCTCTGACTCCATCGTCACATCTTCTTCTCTGACTGATTCACCTGCCTCCCTCTTCTGTGGACCCCTGTAATTCCCACTGGCCCACTCAGGTAATCCAGGATCCCCCCATCTCAAGATCCTTAATGTAATCACAAGTCCTTTGTACCATGTAAGGTAACACATTCACAGGTCCCAAGGATTAGGACACAGGCATCTCTGGGGAGGATGGGACATTATTATATCTATCATAATAGTCCTTCACGGAAAGTGAAGAATGTTCCTACATGTTGAGTAATCAAAGGCTGTATGTTAAAAATAAAATAGAATTTAGTTTACTTCCCCTGCTTATATTAACGACGTGGCCCCTGTAGGCATTTCTGTTCGCAGTTGCAACTGTTGAGTCATATGATAAAGTGGGTTATGACTGGGGCGTGGAGGTGCAGAAGGGGACTGGCATTTAATCTTTGAGTTGATACAGTGCAGAGCGGAAGGGCTTCAGCATCAAGGCTGTGGGTAAGAAACGGCGTGGGGTAAGGAGGGAGAGAAGCTCAGACTTTCTCTGGGAAGCTTTTCCTGAACTCCAGCCCTATCCCAGCTCCTCCATCCCCGGGTCCCATCCTCTGCCCCAGCCCTGACCACACAGAGCTGAGGGTGTCTTGTCAGCTCTGATCATCTGCCCACTCTTCCCCACAACTAGGGACTCTTCAGGGGTGGGTCCTGGGGATGGGCGCTCAGATCACCATGTGTCTGTGAGTTTGTCATGCTGTGGTAGCTTGTGTGTGGCTGTGATGCTGGAAGCTATGCCATCAGTATTTCAAATACCAGCAGGGTCACCCATAGTGGACAGGTTCCAGCTGAGCTTCCAGACTAAGACAGACTAGGAAGAAAGGCCTGGCGATCTACTTCCAAAAATTGTTGTTGTTGTTGTTAGGTGCCATTGAATTGGTTCTGACTCATAGGGACCCCATGCACAACAGAACGAAACACTGCCCGGTCCTGCGCCATCCTCACAATCGTTATGCTTCAGCTCATTGTTCCAGCCACTGTGACAATCCATCTCGTTGAGGGTCTTCCTCTCTTTCACTGACCCTCTACCAAGCATGATGTCCTTCTCCAGGGATTGATCCCTCTTGATAACATGTCCAAAGTATGTGAGACGTAGTCTCACCATCCTTGCTTCTAAGAAGCATTCTCTCCGTACTTCTTCCGAAACAGATTCGTTTGTTCTTCTGGCAGTCCATGTATATTCAATATTCTTTGCCAACACCACAGTTCAAGGGCATCAATTCTTCTTCGGTCTTCCTTGTTCATTGTCCGGCTTTCACATGCATATGAGGTGACTGAAAAACTGTGGCTTGGATCAGGCGCACCTTAGTCCTCAAGGTGACGTCTTTGCTTTTTAACACTTTAAAGAGGGAATTAGCCAATAAAACCCTATGATCACAACAGAACATTGTCTGATACAGTGCTGGAAGACGAGTTCCCTAGGTTGGAAGGCACTCAAAATGCATAAGGGCCACAACAATGGGCTCTAGCAGACCAACGATCATGAAGATGGCGCGGTACTGGGCAACATTTTTTCTGTTATACATGGGGTTGCCATGAGTCAGTGCTGATTTACAGCAACTAACCACAACAATTATGCCCAGGGAAAAGTGTGGGTGGACCACTGCAAAGAGAGAGAGCTTAGTGGTCTGGGGCCAAAGAAAGTCAGATGAGGGTCAGGAAGATTCCAATGCACAGGGAGAAAAGCCAGGGGCATCCTGTGTCTCAGGCTGAAGGGAAGCGTGGCATGGTGGGTGGAACAGAAGAAAATGAAGCAGGGCCAGGTGATGGCAAATGTCAGGGTAAAGAATTCTGATGTCAGTCATGGGCGATAGGAAGCCTCCACAGGTAATCCCACCAGGGGTACCGCTCAATTGACGTTGTCATTATTTGCCGTTCAGTTGATTCCAACTTGTGGCGACCTCATGTGTGCAGAGGAGAACTGCTCCATAGGGTTTTCAACGCTGTGACCTTTTGGAAGCAGAGCACCAGGGCTGTCTTCAAAGGTGCCTCTGAGTCGGTTCGAGCCACCAACCTTTCAGCTAGTAGTCGAGTGCTTAACCGTTTGCGCCATCCAAG